ATCCGTACGCTCATCTTCCCCTTTTTTTATTCTTTCAAATTTTTCTTTAATTTGTGTTGCTTTTATGAATGCTTTAACTTGAAATTTGTGAGGTTGCAGACGAAGGAGAATCTGACCCCCATTGGCTCCAAAATTGCGGTAACTTGTTTTGATCCATTTTTTACAAGTATTTTCTAAATTATGCTTGATATATTCTGTTTGGGCGCTGAGAATGTTTACAGAGGGAATTAGAAAACTGATTATAACTTTGGGTTCAACATTATCAAGGAACTGGAAACAGATGTTTGGTATTCATTTTAATTTTGCCCACAATGTTGTGTTTGTTGCTAGGAATTGAATGAATCGAGGTCTGAGCTGCTTGGCAGAATTCAAGGGTTGAAGCAGGTGAAACTGAGCAATACTTTCTCTCTTTATTGTTTCCTTTTTTCATTAGTTTGTAAAAAAATGGAAGGTCTGAGTTTAAATTTGTGGCTAACTGCTTACTTGTTTATCTGTTTGTTTGGGTAATTAGGATTTGCAAAGTTGGAGGTCAAAATTGGACACTCAAGTTAAGGTCTACCGCGATGTAAGTGTTTATATACTGTGTTTCTTCACACTTGAAAAGCATGCATTTGGGTTTCTGGGTTCCTTTTTCTATGCCACACGGCATTGTCATTAATAGTTCATCTTGGTGGGATGATTTGTTCTTGCTTATAGGATTGGTTAATGTAGATTTGGTTGCTTGTTCTTTGGCATTTTCCATGATCTGTGTAGTTCTTAGTTATGGGATCGTAATATGATTAGTTGTAGGGTTAACTCATCGAAGTTTTTATTGGAACATTAAATCACAGTGTTGTTGACTGAAGGATTCTTTAAGAGACAGAATTTGAAGTTAGGTTATTGATTGTCTACTGGTCCACAATGAATGTCAAGTTGTTTGGTATGCATTTGACTAATTAGCATTTCTAATCACTTTCTGCCTCCATAACTTACCTAATGATGTTGATGTTGATTGTGTGTGTGGGTGTGTGGGTGTGCGGGTGTGCGCATGAGAGTAAGAGCGAGAGGGAGAGAGAGGAGATGCTTGAACTTCTCACCTGTTAAGAATACCCGTCAATAAACCAATGCCTTCTTTTCCTATTTTGAAACTTGGAAAAGCCACAGCGGTTGGTGTCTCTTCCTATTAGTTTAGGGTTATATTTTGAACTATCTCTTCTGCTTGGACCTGAAACTTTCTTTTTCATAAGTATATGGCTTTCTTGTTGCAATTCTTTTTCTCTTCCTTAATGCAGGAGCTTTCGGAACTTAAGAAATCACTCAACACTGAAGTGGATCAGCTTCGATCCGTAAGTGTTGCTCCAGCAAAATTTGTCCAAGTTTAATTTTCATATGTGAATGTTGTGTTAAATTGATTTATTGAAATGAAACTAGGAATTCCAAGAACTGAGGACCACTCTTCAGCAGCAGCAAGAAGATGTTACTACTAGTCTTAGAAACTTGGGGGTATGTTTTCATACCTATTGCTGTGTCTTTGGAGTGAAAAAACTACCACAAGAGCTGAATTAACTTTTTATTAATTGCCGCAGCTGCAGGATGTCTCAGGAGATAAAAAAGAAGGCCAAGAGACCCAAGATACTGTGGTTGAAGAAAATGGTGACAAAGAATCAAATGTTTCAACTAAGGAGGTTGG